GGAACCTTTGTGATGCTCTTAATGTATCATCCGGCAATGACGATTCGACTAGAGGATATAACATCGTCACATATTTATCTCTAGCAACACCCAGAACTTCTAAGTTTCATAGAGTTTTCATAATGAAAATTTTCGCTGAGAGTTTTTTAATAATATTAACAACAGTAGAGCTCTAACATAGACTTCTATAAGAAGGTCTTCTTTCCCAAAATGCGATTGGAGTTGTTGTAAAGCTTTACTATAACTTTCATCACCGGGCGGAAAGCTTTTGATTAACTCTTCAGCAAATATGAGCATGTCACTGAAGCATTTATCTGAGTTATATTCCTTTAGAAAGGTATTCAGGTTGTTCAAAATTTTACAAATATGCAAAATATTGTATTTTTTAGTTTGTAGAATATTGGTAATCGGAACAACTTTGCTTAGTATCTTGTACCACAACTCTAGCATATGTACTACAAAAATCTAATTTTTAACTTCTTTATTAACTAGAAGAGAAGCTAGATGTTTTATTTTGTTATAAAAGTTATTTCTAGAAAAAATTTCATAAATTTTGCTGGAATTTTAGAGAAATTCTGCTGCACAGTGGCATAGCTAGGGGGGATATGTTCCCGGGCACAGTATCCACTGGGTGCCAAACTGATGCTACAGAATTTTAGAAAGAAGTGTTTTCCATTCTTGGCAAACAGGAGGGGGCACAAAATCATCACTTGTCCCCAGGTGCTGAAAACCCTAGCTATGTTTCTTCTGCTGGACCATTTGTTATCTGAAGATTTTAACATTAAACTTGAAGTGTTACTTTTCAAAACAGATTATCGATTAGTTGAGGCAGAACAAAATTATATAGCTCTTGAAAAGTTGAGAAAACATTTATTATATTGGATTTCACATCGTCATTTATGACGAAATTCTAACTGCGGTTACAATAAAGTAAAAATATTGCTCATGAATTAATGTCTAAAAAAAAAATTTTTTTTTGTACACCTTGATGTTTACCCTTCATATTCAAGCCATTGTCATACCCTTATCTGCACATATTATAAATATCTAAACCATAATTTTCTAGTAAAACATTGGTTAAACTTTCACCTGTTATATCACTTACAGGACAGAATGTTAAAAAATGTTCTTTGACACTGAATTCACTTTTTTTTTTAAGTTAACATATCTTATAGAAATAGGAATTTGCTCCTGGTGACTCACCTCAGGAGTACAATCAAGTTTGCTTTTTTAACTTAATTAAAATATTATTTCTTATATTATCACCTATAATTTAATCATTTTGTTTTGAATTTTTATCTCCAAGATTAACTGGCATATTTTTTTTAGATCTGTTATGTAGATATATACAGACATGACCGAGTCAAAGTTTGCTACCATTTCTGTACTTAAAAAAAATTCTTTTATTTTTTTCAAATAATTTATTACTAGGAAAATGAAAAGCCAAGTTTTATTGAGCAGAAAATTGAATTGTATAAATTATTCTTTCAATGAGACTACACCAGTGTTTAGCTTATTTTTTTAATAAATTTTGCATTTTGGAATCTTTGGTTCAGTTAGTTTTTAATCATTCTAATAAATCTAACCAGAAATGTTAGTTTTCAAAATGAATTTACTTTTTTCATGAATTTTCAAATGTTTGCTTAAGTGATGCCAATCAATGAAACTGTTTTCGTTATTTAATCCAGTATTTTTAAGGTCAGTGGATTATTGATGTAATTGAATAATCTAACAGAAATGGAAAAAAAAGTATTTTTCTTAATAAGATAACAAATTTTGCTGAAACTTTTCACTATTTGACGAAATTCGAAAGAAATATATGTCAGAAAACTCACATCCACTTTTGTCTATAGGATACATAATTTTATTCTGATAATACATAGGACATTTTTCGACTAGTTCTTGCACCTGTGTTGAAGATAATATACTCGACCGCAGACCTAGATTGTTAGAGAGAGGTGAATATGCATCTTTGGATGATTCATCTTACTTACTCGAACATGATGGCACAGATTGAAATGTAACCGAAAACGAAAACCACAGCTATCACTGGAGCTTCAAAAAAGTTGATGAGTTTTAAATTGCTCTGCTCCAAGTCTTCCTCTCATTCTCGTTGGTTAATTTGGTAACCAGACAATTTCTTTTTTTATTCTCGGATCATCTAACTAAAATTAGGAAACAAGAAATTTTATTTGTTTTATATAAATAATTATTAAAGAGAATTCAAAATTTTAAATTTTATAATTATTGTAATGAAAATTTCGTTAAGTATATATAGAAATTAGTGAACTGAATGTATAGTTAAAATTATGTAATTTTTTAAAGTTGAATAAAGCATTATTATAATAATAATTATTATTATTATATAAAACTGAATTCACTTAATCACATGCCTTATTTTTTATTTTTGTCACAATCATTATTTAGCAAATCAGGGTTCACGAATACATATATTTGATAAACTAATATGGCTTATGCATTCATGACAACAGTGAAAAATTAATAAACCTGCATAGAACGTGAAAGTGTTTAAATAAAATTTTGCAAGCTTAAACCTGGAAACTTTTCAGTGAACGGTGTGCCTATCTAGAGACCATAGATGAAGCAGAGTAATACAATTTCATAGTCAGAATTGATAGACAATAAATTATCACAGGCTTCTTTAAAACCTTAGTGCCTTTGTGCACCACACGATCTTTCCCAAATAGATGGCATGTCCCTGCGTATAGCTTGTCTTATTTTGACACATTGCAGACAGTAGTTACCACTTCAAGCTACTAAGAATGTTAAACACAAGACATTGCCAAGCACATCTGCAAGCAAAGCTCACATAGTGATTTCTCAGTACTCTGAACTCTCCGACTGAAAACTGATGCTCTCCTTGGTCTTATGTATTTTCCCCTCATCCACCAAAAAATTTCTAGTACCTTTGATTTCTTGAAATTGCTTGCAAGCATACACAGTTGCAGTTACATAGGACCAGATACAGTTACATTTACACAAGAATCAGATTTGTTATGGTTGTACAAAGATCAAACCAAAATGTCATCAAATGATCTCCAACCTTGGTGATTTATGGGGATTTCTCATCAAATTGGCAACAAAAATAGCCATTTACTTCTGTGTTAAATGGAATTACACCTGTAGTTTTACTTTTCCATCAGTGTTGTGTTTTCTGATGCCTTTCATGTTGCATTATACAATAGATACTATAATTTACATGTAATGTCACTGAAATTATTTAGTACATGATGTGTACAAAATTTGTACAATAGTGTGTAGGCAGTTCTCTGTGTTTTAACGATATAAATTATAAATTACATAATAGTGTTTTAGAATTGTTAACAGTTTAAAATATGTTTTGAAGCTATTATGACATCTAGAAAATATGTTTATGAAAAAGTGTGTAAATATAAATGAATTATGTAGCAAGTAGCACCATCTATTGAAGACATTGGAAATTTAAGAATTTGATATTTATTAACCTGTTGTTGAATAATAAAAACAATACTGTAACTTGATGTATTTTACTTCTCTTTACCTGTATATAACTTTTGTATATCTTCCATTCCCTTTAGAGGTTGCCAGTACACACTTCATATTGCTGCTACTGAATATTTTAGTCATTTAGTTGCATTTGAACAAAGCATTCAAACAGTGACTAAGCTTATTTGTGTGTGTGCGGATAATTTTATTTCATAGTCAGATGTTAAGATGTCGGTGCTTTCTAAGCATTGATCAGAAAGATCTAAACACATTGGTCTTTTAGATGTTTCACCATCGGCATCATTGTTCAGAGGGCTACATAGGGAGTAGGTGAATATTATATTCATGAGAAACAGAAATGGCTATAAATATCCTTGCAAATTCCAGGATTCAAACCTGGGTCCAAATATAGGGCAGCCAGCACTGCTAACTGCCATGCCAAACAAGTTGGATGTGTAAAATCTTTGTATTTCATCAAATTTCAAAATTTCTCTTTCCTTTTTAAAATTTGTTTGTATGTATATGATTTATTTGTAAACATAACAAGTTTGTGTGAAGTTGTGACTAAATTTAATGCATTGGAGAATAATGAATTATTAACCTTTAAGCTAAATAAAATTCATTTTAATTTAAATAACATATTAATACAATATTCAATAAGTATCTCTGAAGTAACCAGTGTGATATTGAGGGGAGAGTTCACATTTAATTACTCTAATATCAGTGAATAATTTTAAATAATGTATTACTGATACATTTAACACTAGTGGGATATGCATTAGAAATTTGCATTGAATTAATTATTAAGTAATTGGTTTTTATTTGTTAACAGGCAAGTATACTGTTAATAAATAAATCATAGAAATTTTTCATACTGTATATGTATTACTTATATAATGTTGTAATTTTTTGTATATGTAAATAATTTTAGTCAAATTATATGTAAATTGTAGTATCCCTGTGTAACTGTAATCCATCCGATCCCTATGTAGCTGTAACTGTGTATGCCTTCCAGCAATTTCGAGAAACCTAAGGTACTGGAAATTTCTCCATATCCAGAGGACAACTTTGTAACATTGGTTAGAGCATCAGTTTTCACTTGAGTTCAGAGTTTAGAGTACTGAGAGATCACTGTATGAGCATACACATTGAGGCTTTTTATATTGTTTTGTGTTTAACGTTCTTAGTAGTTTAAAGTGGTTACTTGAGCTCTGTCATACTGAAAAGAGCTGTACGAATACTTTTGTGAAAAAGTTCCAGAACTATAAAATGTTTCTTTCAGGGAAATAAATTTTCATCAAGCTATCATTGGTTCTGTGTGCATGCAATCCATTACGAACCCATATGCACACAACAGTATTTATATATGAATCCTTAATATGTATAGATTCTGTTTTATGAAAATGTTGCCAAACTAAATAATGGGCCTGGAATTTATTGCTAGGTAATATATTACCATTTTTTTATGGTAAATAAACTGTAATGTAATGTTTATTGATTTTTCTTTGGTTTAGTGTTTGCTGGTATACAGAATTGGCAGTGGAGACTTTGGTTGACCATGGCAGATTTTTTGGAGCAGCGGAAACTAAAAAATTTGCAGTCCTCATTATCTGAAGTAGAAATTAAAAATTATGAAGTTAAACTAAATAAAGCTAGAAACTTTTATATTAAAGGAGTAAGTAAAATTTAAAAAAAAAAAAAAAAAAAAAAAATTCCCTCATCTCCTCCCAATTTTTAGTTTTTTTAAAAACTTTTATTATAGAAAGCTCACTTAATGCATAGGAAATTACATTTTGTTATTATTGTTGTAATTGTTATTTTTGTTATTATATACCTGTTAGGATTATAGTCTTAGGAATGGAGAGGAGAAATTTGCAGGATGGAAGCAAAAACTTTTGCAATTATTTATTATAAAGTATTATAAATTTTGTGTATTTTAACATTTAATTGGTGCTTTCTAAAGCTATTCTTTGAAAAGAAAAATTGATGGATATGCCTTGTTACATAGTGAATATTTTGTTATGTAGTGAATACTAAATTGCTACCACGGGCACTTTCCAGGATAGTCAAGGAAACACATTTTCGAGAACCCACACTTAAAAAGTCCTTGCTTGTCTGCCCTTTTATAGGCAGAGTATAAAAACAAAGTAAAAAATAAAGGGAAAACAAAATGTAATCTGCAGCTGAGGTAGAAACTTGATAGTAGCTTGCAGTAAATTTGGTTGAGTGTTGAAGTCAACGGCATAACCCATGTACAGCCATCTATCAGTGCTCATAGAAAATGGTTCAAAGTAATTTAAAAATCAGGATCTGATAAAGCCAATGAAAGATAAGCTCTTCTCTTGAGCTGGTGAAGACAAATCAGAAAAAAGGAGGGTGTGAAGTTGCTTGTCAAATGAAAGATTTGCAGGAAAAATCACTGGTCTGGGCTTGTTGGTAAATAGTACATGACTCCTACCAAATTGGGTTTTCATGATTATCATGTGGAGCAGATAGCATATTAGTACAGTTAAGGAATAGCACTGAAAATGTATTTAAATTTACATTAAATTTATTAATTACATATTAGTATAAGAATTATTAGTATTTAGTATAAGAATTTGTGATAGAAAACTTTATAAATTATTTTAGGAATATTATAACGTATGGATTTATCATTTTGTTAACTTTTTTATTGTGAATATTAACATTTTAGATCTTTTTTTATATGTAAATAAATTCAAACTTTCTTTAAAGGTAACTCATAACATTATAAACACGAAACAATTAAGTGTTGCAATTGCTAAACTTCAGGGACTGACAGGAGAACTCAGAGTAAGTATGTTTAATCATTCTGACATGATTAAATTTTTTTTCAAGCAATGAAAATCAGATCTTGTTAAATGTACTGAGAAGTGTAGAAATGTGTAGAATTTCACAGAAATGCTTTAGATGAATTAAAATTAGGACAATGTATTAAAATTACACTTTTTAGAAAAATAGCATTAAAATAAATGCTTTTTATTTCTTTTTATCATGTTTTAAGTCTTTATCTTTTACTTTTGTGATGTTTGATTGTAATTCTTAAACTGGTGAAATAAAACAAATGTTATGAAGCATGAAAATAGCTTCAAAATTATTTTTCATCAGAAGCTGAACCTGGTGTATTACACTAGAATTTTCATTTGTCTAATTTTTCAGTTTTTTATGATAAGAATTTTTCCTCTGTAATTGTTCCAAAATATTCAGATGTATGATACATTTTTCAAAAACTTTTCTGTTTTTGCTCCTAAAGAGTGTGCAAATATGAAAGACTGTGATCAAATTCTCCTATTATGTTAGAGAATTCTTGCAAAAAATAGTAAAAATAAAATTATTTGAATTTTCTCCTTTTGATCTGAAAAGTATTTCATCTAACATATTACTGTAGAAAAATCACATATGAAGAAAATAATCATTGAGGAAACAATTGATTACATGAAGCAAATGAAAACTGTGCTTAGAAGAAATAAATGAAGATATTACCAAATCAGCAGATGCAGCAAGCAAAAGTTTTCTAATTTTGATCATAAAAGTTGTCGTCGTCTTTTTTTTTTTTTCCTTTTTTTTCATATTGCTCTCAAAATATCTAATATGAAGAGAAAAATATTGAGGAAACAATTGATTGCATAACGAAAACGAAAGTTGTTCTTTGAAGGAATAAATATCAGCAGATAAGTAGAGGACAACATGAATAATAATTTGCTTATTAAAGCAAATAAATGGGGGAAAATAGTTAAAGAAGAGAAGGAAATAGATATAAATAAGCCAAAGTGTCAGAAACATTTTCAGACTAAAAAGACACAAATATTTTGCAGTCTTATGGATGTTTTTTATCTTTCAATGGATAATTATTCTAATTAAACATTACTTGATAATTTTTAGAGAGTTATTTATATTTTCTAATTGATTTTACAGTTACGTTAAATATTACAATGTGTTTAATAGTAATTCATCCTACAAGTTTCTGTTTGCATTTTAGAATGATGTTATAAAACTGTAGTGGGTCACATAGAAGACAGCTTTAATCTGTTCAATTCTCATTTATTGATAGGATCATAATTTTTGTCATTAATTGGTGTTATTAATTTCCACGTACAGAAATGTGTATAAACTCTGTGCTGATTTTGATGTATTTCCTCAAATAATAGATCTGTTGTTCATAACTTTCAAAATAAATTGTTAATTCAAAATTAATCTTTCATTTCTGAATTGTCTTGATGATATTGCTACTGTTCAAGTTTTTTCTGCATAAGATTTTTATTATCCATAAGAGCCAAAAATCAGTTGATTGCAAATCAAAAGAAGTTCAAAGGTACCCTGAATCTTAATAAGAAGCACTGTGATCTTTAAATATCTTTTTGTCATGAAATAGATGATAAGAACATGCTAAAAGCATCACACACATAATTTCAGCAGTTACAAATAAAGTTGAAAATATGTTTTTAAATCTTCCTACTCTAGCAATTATTATTATATTTGAATTTGTTTGGAGTAGACTGCATCACAGAAATCTCGAAAATTTTTTAATTCTGGAATGAGATTACACACACACACACACACACACACACACACCAAAAAAAAAAAAAAAAATATAAGAATGTTACATTGGTCTTGCAGTCTGACACCATATGTTTCATGTGAATATCATGCAATGATCTCTGCAAAGCTATTGCTAAAATTTCATTGAGATTTAAAAGTAATTTCCTCTGTCTACTTTTAAACTTAATTGACAATATTTTAATTAATCAGAATTTAAATTATGCTAACCACAAATTAAAAAGAATGAGTTTTTTGTTAAAATATGAAGAGCAGCTAAAATACTTTTTAGATTGTGCAATATTAATAGGAATTATAGATAGAGAAATCATATATGCAGACAATGATTAACATTAATAATTAGGATGAAAAGTGCTGAATAACTAATCTTTCAGTGAGGAGGTACTGTACCTGAATTACTTGTGTTAAAGTGTAAAATTAATGTTATGTAAAAATAATTTTATAATTCTCCCGTGTACAGGCCAATATGAAACTCTTATTGTGTTTGTATGTATAACACAGATATGAAGCTTGAAAACTCAAATTCTTTTCATTTAATACAGCGAATACCCAAAGTTATGGCCCAGAGTGAAGCATTTGAAAAAACATTTGGTACTTTGCTGATAATGTTGGCTCCGTTGGCTCCTCATTTTGCATCAGAATTGTGGACGGCATTCTGCAGTGTTGCATTAGGAGGACAAAAGTGTTCTTTTGATTTAGTAAGTAGGAATTCATGCTCTATAACATAAATTATTTTATGTATAATATCTTAAATAATACTAATTAATAAAATAATTTTATTGTTGAGTTACCTTAATAAACGTCTACTGCAAAAATTATACATATAAAAGATTAATAAAAATATTAAGCTGATAACCTTTTATTTTTATAGCACATATTTATGTAAAGCATTGATTTCTATCTCCTGAAAATAATGATTCTGAAACTAGTAATGCTGTTATTCTTTTTTTATCTCTTTTAACAACCCAGGAAAGTGATTTTGTTTTCGTTCAATGACAAAATCTTCACTCTTTCAAATGAAAGTAAAAAATATAAGAGCACGTTGTGTCTAATTAGTGATGCATACAATCTTCATTTATCTTCACTGCATTGGTTATCAACGTGACAAAGTGAATCATTTGAAAGGTTATTTTATCTGTATATGATAACATTTCACAATAAAGTCTATGTTATATCAGAAATGCAACTCTGCAGTTTTTTTTCAATGAATAGGTTGGGATGAGAATTAAAAAATATACATAGATAGTTAGATAGATCATTAATGCAACTGGTCTGCAGACAACAAGTAATCCTTGAAGCCTGCCATTGGGGTCATTCTAGATTTGCAAAAGTTTCCTGTTATTTGTAAATGGAATTAACATAACTTCTTGCTGTTGACATGTGGCTAAATACAGTAGAATATTTTTTAGATATATTTTCAGAACTAAATGAACTAAATATCCATTTACAAACTAATACCTCAATGATAGGGATTTCAGAGTTTGAGAGGAAGCTTAGTGTGTGAGTTAGTTGTAATTTTTCATCATTTCTTGCCTTAGAATAATTTGTAGTAGGAAATTATATCATTGTTAGGAAAGAGTTATGAAATGACATATGTTCATGCATTGAAACTTTAATGTCAGAATTTGGAACTTATTTTCTAAGTGGTAAATATAATGAATTTTCATGTGTTCTTGATTTTTTCCATTGTGAGTTTGAAAATAACAAACGATCACTGAATGAAAAAGAACAGTTAATTGAGCTTTCTGATGTCACTGCACTTAAAATCAAATTTAGCTTTTCTTTTATAAGTTTATTAATGTCAATTAAATGAATTTTATTTAGTTATGTTCTTAAAATATAAGTATACTGTTGTAACATACACTAAAAAATTTGCTTTCAAAGGAGACAGGAGTAAAGTGGTCCACAAAACATTCTAATTTACAAAAATGATTCCAACTTGAAAAATGTTTGAGTAACGCTGCTGTATTGTATTGACTAAATTTTGTATTTCTTCTTTTCTGTATCATCTGTGTGCAGTTAAGCCAACTTTATGAATAAAATGTTTGTCCATTTAATAAATTGAAAGGAAAGATTTATTTTAAAAGGTAGCTTTAAGTTTTTCTTAAAAATTAAATAATAAAATATAAATCTACTTCAGTGAGTTAAAAATGTACTATAAATAAAAAATTTAGTGTCGAGGCTAGAAGGGGAATTTATACTGACAAAATTGTTTTGAGTTGCTTTAAATCAGCAGAAAAGAAAAAGGTTTGTAAAGAAAACTAAAAACAAAAATAAATAATGAAATATGACTTTTGCTAATAATAATAATGGTATTCTTTTACAGTCTGTTGCCATAAATTACATAAAAAGTGTAAAGCGGTCTTAATTCCCTAAGTGGCATGAGGGCGGTTATAAGGCCATGAGAATTTTTTGTCACTTCATATATGTTAGCTTATAATTTAAAGTGTTATACATTAGCTTATATTTTAAAGTATTTTGTTTCCTTACTTTCTTTAATGATGTACATATTATCTTAATGAATAGAAGTACAGAGACTAAAATACATAGTCATACAGGTTTAGCTAATAAATCCTGTTTATATACAGGTTTTCATGAGCAGATTCCAAAAGCCTTGCTACTCAGAGGGTTAAAGTGTAAAATGAATAAAAGTGTTTGTGTCATTGAAATATTATAGCTTTGTAATATTAGTTTGTGTGATCTGTTTTTAAATTAATTTGCAAAATATATATTTTTAATAAAATATTCTCTTTTCCTAGAATAAACCTGTGTTGCTTCAAAAATGGCCAGAATTTGATGAAAATTGTGAAATGGAAATTCATATCAAAGTAAAAAGATATCCTGTTGAATCATAATTTATTCAAGTTAGATCATAATTTTTAAAGTTAGTGGAAAGTTAATTCATGATATAGTGCAGTCTGTAAAGCAATCTAGAAAGTGTTTTAATTTTTTATTTTTTTATTTTATGATGTTTAGTTAATAATTAGCATCAGTTTCATCTTACAAAGGATATATGTGTTTGAAGAAGAATAACTAGCCTTCTTTAACTTGTCTGAAAGTATGCAGGGTTATGATTTCACTCAACTGAATTTTTCTTCAGTAAACATATTGTTTCATTAATGTCCATTAGTCTTAATAGAATGGTAATCAAATAACAGCAAATATCAAATATCATATTTACTTGAAGTTTTTTTTTTACTATATATTTTTTCTAAAATTCGGTAGGGTTTTATAGATGGCCATTTCGATAAGTGGAATTATATTTAGGCAATAAGCTAATACTGTTATTTTAATAAAATTCCAAGTGTCGTCACTAATCCATGGGTTCTATTTGGGCGAGCTATTTCGGCTTCTATATTCGATTCAAATCACAACTTCACTTAAGTCTTAATGACTATTTATTTACACACATCTTTATATTACAATATTTACATCGTAGTTGACAATTACTTTAAAGACAGTACATTTTAATTGTTTTCTAAGTCAGAAGTTTTGTCTTTACGCTCCTCTGAGTGGTTCGAATCTAGTGTTTTTCCCAGATCTCAATTAGAGAAAAAGAAAGGAAGAATGCCCACCATCTAGTGGCAAGAATGGGACACCAAAAGAAGGACAATAAACTGAGATACTCTTTCTAGGAATTACTGCAAAATAAAATAACTATGTCTCTATGTATATACTTCTTTAAATTTATTTTAAAATGAAGGAAGGTTTTTAATTTTAAGTAAATACAGTAATACAGAACTACTGAAGAACAAGCACTAAAATAAATCTGCTGAACAAGAAATCCACATTTTATCATAAACATGGTGTAGTAAAAGACAGGCACTGTACATCTGTCTGTAAAAGACAGACATGAAATCTTAAATGTATTTTTATGCAGAAAACATTACAATTAGTACTTGGTATGTATCAATATTTTTGTTGCATGTATTTCTGTTTGCAGATGTATAAAAATTGTTCTATGCATCAGAAATTTCTTATTTTTCTCCATTTTGTGTAGTCATTTTTAAACTTCACTTTTGACTGACTGCAAAAGATACTTTGGCGATGGGACATTAAATTTGCTTAAAATCTGATGTACAGCACAAAGTCCATAATCCAGACTCGTCGGGACTTTGGCGATTCCGGATTAGGGGTTTTTCTGGATTTATAGGTCATCAATTTTAATCTGGTAAGATGGCATGCAGAAATTATACAATTAAAAATATGAAATCGTAATTTATGAAATAAAGAACAATTATGATCTAAAGGGTATCAAAATTTACAAAAAAAGCTTTATATTTATTTGTTTACTTTATTAAACATTTCTTTCAGTGTAAGTTGTTTAAGATGCTTTTTAAGATGTTATGTTGTTTAAGATCCTCAAAAAGTTCCTTTTTCTTGTGTCATATATAGTGGATTTTCCAATGCCATACTTCTTCCATAATTTTGAGACGGATAGGCCTTTATCCATTTTTTGCAGCAATTCCACTTTTTGTTTAATGGACATCAAAACATGCTTTTGCTTTGTAGATCCTTTGGCAGCTCCAGAATTGGAACTCTTTTTGACATAATCGAAAGTTCAAGCTTAATTTTTATAAAATTGTTCTAACAGTATGCAAAAAATAATAAGCCGGATCCAATTAGAAGATTAAGGAACAGCGCGATCTGCAACATTAACTGAAATGCCGTAGATAGTTTTAGCCTAGCTTATACCGTCCGCTATACATTAAATGTGCATGTGTAAATGCATTATGCACATGTGTAAACGCATTATGCACATACGTAAACGCATAATGCGTTTATGCATGCGCATTAAGTTTTTAGCTTTGAGATCCAGATTATAGATCATTCCGGATTATGGACGTTTGGATTACAGACTTTGTACTGTATTACATTTTGATATTCATTGCTATTTTATTCACTTCAGTGTAAAACTTCTGATTAGCTGCGTTTTTCCTTTTACAATTATCCGCTTTGTTTGGGGAATAGTTGGGTTTGGGATATTCTGAGAGTTTTTGAAAATATTTAAAATGATATCTTATTACCAAGCTGAGCTAATAAGTAAATGGAGCTTCAAACATAAGCACTCTACATAACATCTAGTATATAGTATTTTTCCTCTCTCTCTTTGCTGAAATTTAGAAGAGATTAAAAAATTTAACAGTTTATCACTAACAGAAAATTTAAAAAATAAATAAATAAAAATTATTGGGGTACTGTAATAAGCTGATCTCTAAGTAAATCAATTAAAGTAAAATAAATGTGTTATTAAAATGTTCTAATATTAATGAACAAATTATTTATGCATTTATTTCATTTAATAAACTCTTTAAATAGTAATTAATAACTGAAGTTTTATTTTTAGATAAAATATATTGCTGGGCAAATTGTGTTTTTATGGTGTGTCAGACAATCAAATGTAGGCTAAATAAGATCAAATCAAATTAGGAATTTTCTTTATTTTCATTCACAAGTATAATTTCTTTCTGCTATTGCTCTGACTTATTTCTCTTAATGTTTAGTACGAAGTAAGGTCTAATCATCCACTCATCTTTAGCATTTTTAGTATTCTACAAGGGCCAACAAATAAATGCAGAGGTTCTCAGCAAAGTATGCAATTAGAATAGACATGTGTATTTAATCATTTAGAAAAGCCTAGGAAATTGTTACATGGCATGATTACTTTTACCAGAGCTTATTCAAAAATTCTTTCATTTGTCAGTGTGATTTGGGAAAGGCATAGATATTTCAAACTTTAACCACTAAATATTGAAATATATTAAAACTGAAAGGTTAATTCTAAAATTTCAGGACTTCCATCTTTTTCAATAATATGTATACTTTTCATATTATGACATTAAAACTCTTTATTATAAATAGAAACAAAAATGTGTTTTTATTTGTTCGTAAACTTGTAAATATAACTTTAATATCATGTTTATTATAGTTAAATGGAGATGAATGTGATTCTATAATCCTGCCCCGAAAGGAATTGTTGAGTTTATCAGAAGAAAAGGCAATTGACTTGGCATTAAGTAGACAAAAAGTACTCGATGTACTAAATGGTGCTAAAGTAAAACATGCAAGGTACAAGAAATGGCCTAATTATGATTCAGATGTCTTCATAGTGTATATACCTCAGAAGAAAGCTAAGAAACCTGCCAAGTTAACCAAAGCTGTAAAGTCTGCCTGAGTAGCATATTTATTATATGTTCTGTTGTAAATAAATGTATATATTGATAGTTTTGAAATAATGTGTAATTATGTAATTAATAATTTTAATAAAAAAGTTTTTCTGATTCGTCTTATTATTTTTTTTAAATTTTATTTTCTGACAAAGTATTTTCGGCATACAGTATGAATTATAAGTTAAAAATATAACATATAATACATGACCATATATTATATGTTATATTTTTAACTTAATAATTCACAAATATTTGTGATAAAATTTTTATTGGAGGTGAGCTGAATAATAATTTGGTTGTGTATTTCCCCATTTTGAGTTTTCAAGTATTCTGGAAAACTCATTTTGTATTTTGTGCATAGCAATAATTTTGAAAAATGTTTCCAGATTATTTGAGACATACATTAAGTGAAATGTTATTTTTTATGGTATTACTGTAGACATTAGTCATAACTATTTTATTATATTGCTTCCTCTGGGATAATATATGCATACAAATTTTTTACTCAGTTTTTAATTTCATAGCCATTGATAATAGACACAGACTTCCAATTAAAAAAAAAGTATTCAATGAGGCAAACATCCATTGTTCGCATTTTTAAATTAAAAAAAGTTTTTTTTTTTTTTTTTTTTTTTTTTTTTTTTTTGTAAAACTAACTTCTTATACACGCTCCTGGTACCAATATTTATATTTAGGAAAATTTTAGATTAGTTATTAAAAAAATATGTGAAAGTTTGACTCTCATGTGACAAAAATTGGCCAAGACATTTAATTCCAAAATTTGCTGTTTTTTGATGTCATTTTCAATTTGCTTTGAGGGATTGGTTAATAAATGGATTAGAATAATTTGATGTTAATGGTAAAGTGGATAGTTAGAGTATTTGTGAAATGCAGAAATAAATTAGAATAATTTAAGGTCAGTCCTAAAGTGGATCATTATAATATTTCTAGTTTAAGTGATGTATTGTGACATATATAAATATTTCTGAATTAATAGTTTATTTAGTTAGTTAATAATTATTTTCTTTTTTTAATTTGATTTTTGTTTGTTTGTTTTGTAGTAAAATTACGCCTTTTCTTTATTATATTCGATTCCTTACATATCTAATTAACAGGTTCACCATTGTTTATGTGTTTTAACTCGTAATGCGTAAAAAAACAATAAAAAATAATTACAACATTTTCACTGCTAATTAATGAATATAATAAATTTAAACAAACAAAAGGCAAAATCTTTTGGTTATCGAAATAATAATTTTTAAACTGTCCAAAAGTGCTTGTACCTTTAAAAACATCAGAACATTTAAATATAAAAGTTTTTTTTTTCAATGAAAATGAAAGTCCTGTTGAAAAGTTCAAGTGCATATTTGGAGAAGAAATACTATGTGATAGGTGGTCTAAACTTGAAACAATAATTAGTCATTTAGATGGTTTTTCAGTTTCTTATGATTTTGATGGCCACAATTTAAAATTAGATAAAGTATGAAAACTAAGGTTGGAATATAGAGAAGCATAAAATAATCCAGATTATGAGAAATTTAAATTTTTGTGTGAACAAGTTCAGTTAATTTAAATGAAACAGCCTTCCTATAGTGCAGAATTCCTTGACTGGATATGTTATGTATTTTATTGTAATCAAAACTGTTACAATATTATATGCAACTGTAATTACTTTATATTACCTCACTTCATATTTAAAAAAGTTATCTTTAAAAATTCATCAAGCAGATTCTGGGTTACAAACCAGGGCATTGGATGTATTTGATGAAAAAATGTGAAATTTTAAATGATTCTGGAAAGCTTGTCAATTTATTATTAGATGAAATATAACCAGATAATAATTTCTGGATAACTTGCAAATGGAGGCAACAATTCTGCAGACATTTATGATAAGTTCCATATTATATATATATATATATATCTTAAAGGTATTGTAGCAATGTTTTCTGTTAAGAACTTATCACATCCACTATTAATGTCTAAAAAACAAATAATTGATCATGTGCAGTCACTCTTGTGGCTATCATATTGTAACTCTCATATCATTCAATAATATTAACAGGAAAATGTTTGAAATGCATCGTGGTGGTATGTTAACCCTTTACGATGATCCAAGTGTTATATTTCAAAATATTAGAAGGTTTACTCTACTTTCTAATTAAGGATCATCGTTAAAATTAACTCTTCCCTTTTTCATATCCAAAGGTATAAATAATTACTCAAAACGTTTTTCCGCGTAAGATATTTTCATCATTTCTGGTATCGTAACTGTTTTCGATAGGTCCTCAAACATGTGAACAATTTTTGGTTTTGAGGGGAATTGAAAGTCCAAAGTGTTAAAAAGAATTTCTTTCAAGTGCGAAAAAGATTGTATTGATGCTGACCTATCAACAATTTCTAGCATTGAAGTTGAGTGAAACATCCATAGTGTCGAAAAGAATTTCTTGGAAGGAATCTTCAACAGCACGCATTGATCTTAAGTGAAACCCTGAAAGATTTATATAGATAAGATATTCATTCTTAAACAAAATGGTAAAGTCAAATCAGCTGGAGAAATCTCTCACAGAATATCTAAATCAGAATTTTAAAAAAAAAAAAAAAAAACTTTTTGGTAATTTTAATGATATCCTCAGACATCATTAAAATTAACTCTTCCTTTTTTGCGTCTTAAGACAACATTGTATGACTCGTGTTTCTAAAAATAGATTATGAGTCATACAAGGACATCATCCAAAAGGCAAGAGTTCATTTTAATGATGACTGAAAACATCATTAATTTTTTTTTTTTTTTTTTTTTTTCTCTCAGATGATTTCTCGTGGAGTTTTGCCAAAAAGAACACCTGTTCCTTAAGTTTTGCACACCAATGTAGTAATAAATGCGGTTTTCGAGACATCTGGCTTCATCCCAATTTGGAAATATCCAAATGTTAGATCTAACGTTGTTATGAATCGTGTTGATTTAAATTTACGAATAATCTTTTCAACTATGGGAAAGGGAAAGATTGTTAAGTAGCATAAGGGCTACTTATTTGCGTTGTGATTTTATTTTTTAACATTTCCTGAATGCGTTGCTCTATTATTTGTTCTTTCATTTTATCGTTGGGGTAAAGTTTTGATATTTCAGGGGTCGTGTTTGGCTTATAATTTTAGTGTGACCTGGAGTTCATCAAATAAGTTAGAAAACTGACTTACCAACTTCTGCAGTCCTTCATTTCCCACACATAAATGGCTTATTTCAATCACGGTATCTACATCCAGCTTCCTTCTATTTTCTTCATATCGGGTTGCAAAATAGATTCCTGAAAATTCAGTTTACCTACTGCCCCCTAAGAAATCCATGCTTAAATTACGGCAGCTTGAAGATTTTTCTCGACAAGGAAGACAGTTTTTTTTAAAATTCATTTTGAACTTGCACGTGCAATGCTATCTCATCTATGCACGTACACTGCCTTCCTAGAGCCGCAATAACATTTGCTCTCGCTACGTTTACGTTCTAAAGAATTTAAGAAAAAAAATTCTGTAGGGTAACTACATTGAGCCCAGTGTCTATCAGTGCATCTGCAGGTGCGTTATTTAATAATGTTTGCATTGCGGGTAATGCCAAATTTTTAACAATCACAACATTTATGTGAATTTGAGACTTGCCTCCGGGGTAACTGCATTTTTACTTTACTCCACCAAGAGAGCAGCTGGTCCACTTGGATATGGTGCTTTTGTCTACAGTGCACCTGTATAGTTTAAATTTTTCGCATTCCTTTTCCCCTGTTTTCTCTTTCGCCCGTCATTTTGGGGACAGCCATTCGCGTTTGAATATTTTTTTTTTCTTTTATCAGCTTGCCTCCACTGAGGCACTGGCCTAAAACTTCGCTCATTTGGCCTCTCTCCATACCCTGCTGCGCATTTCTTCTTCGCCATGCGTTTACTTAGGAACTTTGTGGCTAGCTCGAATAAACTCTCCACTGTCGTTGGATCTCTTAGCTCAAAAAAAATCTTGTATTTGCTGCAGTGACCTAGGTAAGCTAATTTATATAATTTCTCCATTCAGGCCTCATGCTGTACAAAAAAAATAAAAATGGGAATTTTTCGCAAAATAAAATCCATTAATTCTTTAAACTGAAATCTACTTTCACTTCTATCGACGCGAGTGGCTAGGCGGGAGATTTCCGAAAAACGAGATTCTAGCAGCACTGGTTTATATGGGAGGCTTCCGAGAAATGTTTCGTCTAGCTAGGCGCAACACATCCCGGCTATGAGCAACATAATGAAACCTTCCTGAAAATGTTCCGTCTGGAAACGTTTCCGCGTACGTTCAACCAATACTTTCCGGAAAGCAGGTACAGAGGCTGTTACCGAAACGGAGAACGGCAGGTGTGCGCTGAGTCATCCACTGGGGGTGGGGGATGGGACGCAGACGATAATCCGTAGTGGCAGCAGCATATGAGACGAAATCAACCTTCGCGTACGGCGGCACCAGCTCAAGTGAAATTTAATCCAATTTAAGATTGATTTCTTGACCTAATTATAAATTTTACATTGGCGTGTTTGTCTTCCGACTTGATATAACAACAGATAGTTAAAAAATAATTGTCCAACATATACTCACATTTATTATATTTAAATAAAAAGAAGATCGTTTTCTTAAGTTTGGCAAAACAACCTTTCTGAAAGTATCTAAAGAGAACTGCTTAATCTTTCAAAAGGACAAAGCAGAAAGATCCTTTTATGCGAAATTACTTTGACTTTTTATATGATTCTAAATTGCTTAAATGCTGAGCGAGCTTTGTTTTTTACAAATTAAATTATCAATGCATTCTTGTGTATTTTTATAGTTACGGCATTCAGCAATATTTATTATTATTATCGTTATATATCATCGTTATTTGTGAGTTCTATTTTAAAATCATTCGTATTCGATCACGGACTTCTTAGTAGCAGTAAAAGCCGGACTAGCCGGAAAGAGTTGAAAGCCGGATATTACGAGATAAAAGCTGGATATGAAGAGCTGAAGGCTGATTTCAAAGCCGGTTATCAGGGTTAGTACACATTTCTGCACACGGAAATTAAGGACATTTAAGGACCATTAATGAAACACGTTAAGGACCTATGAGCAA